CGAGCATCCTGGGCCTCACGTGACTGGCCACACGTACTTCGAGGGGCCCTTTTAGAAAAATTAACCCATGCAGCTTATGGGGAGCGAGTTTACCCAGTGAGTTAGTGAGTCAGCACCGATACATTGGACCAACACCCAGCGGGCCCACCCCCTCCACGTGTCAATCCCACACGCTCCCCCCATGCGGCGTGCAGCGTTTTTGTTTATCCCCTGTGTCGGAGTTTTGGCCGGAATCTTTCCCTCGCCACCGTCGACGGACGGTGTCTGCTGTTCTGCCGCCCAAGACCCTCCCGTGCGTAGATATTTTAGCTAACTTAATATAATATATAAAAATATTTAGCTCCCCACCTAAAGCCCAGAGCATACTGTTTTTTAATTTAAAGATAAATTAAAAAATAAACAAAAATTGGCGATGCTAATTTCGGTGATCCTATAAGACACCGATTTCAGTGTAGTTTCAGTCTCCGCACAAAAACCTCTGAGGATTTTCTCTCTCCAAACAAGAAAAAAGAAAAAAAAAAAGACAGAAAAACAGAGCTTCTCTCTCTTCACCTCCAAACTTCCATTTCTACTCACTTTTCCCTTTTCTTGCTCACAACCCCTTTAATTGAATACATCTTTTGAGGCTTTTTTTTTAGTCTTTTTAACCCCCCTTAGTTTCCTTCATATTTTCTTGACCTTTTTTGAGATTTAACATTTTCCCCTGTTTTTTCTTTTTCTTTTTCTGTGTATGTTAAGAGGTTAAAGATTGATTTTTTATCAAGCTCTGAAGAATAACAGCAATGGATCAGAGTCTGTTATGGCCGGTGAAATACACCGAGCACAAACAAGTCACCAAAAAGCTCATAAAACCCCCAAAACAAAAACCCAGAAAACAGAGCCCCAAATCAACCGGCAGCTCCGCCGCAATCAATGGCCCAAGAACCGTTCGAATCTCCGTCACCGACCCCGACGCGACCGACTCCTCCAGCGACGAGGAGGACGAGCTCTTCCGCCGCCAGCGCGTCAAGAAGTACATCACCGAGATAAGAATGGAGTCCGCCGGCGCCGCCTGCCGGACCAGGGCCTCCGAGAGCCTCCAGGCGAGACCCAAGCCGATGAAGTCCCGTACATCTCCGGCGCCTCCGTCCGCCGCCGACGGCGGCTCCCGGAAGTTCCGCGGCGTCCGGCAACGGCCATGGGGGAAGTGGGCCGCCGAGATCCGTGACCCTTCCCGTCGGGTCCGCCTCTGGCTCGGGACCTACGACACCGCCGAGGAGGCCGCCATGGTTTACGACAGCGCCGCCATCAAGCTCCGTGGGCCCGACGCCCTCACCAACTTCGTCACACCTTCGCCGGAAAACAAGTCTTCCGGCGCCGCTTCCGGCTACTCCTCCGGCGACGAGTCTTCCCACAACCGAAACCACCCTTCCCCGACCTCCGTCCTCCGGTTCGCAACCACCCGGTCAGGCGAGGACACCGACCAGACGGGACTGTGTAGCCACTCGAGCGAATCTCCGGTCAAGGGAGACGAGCCGTGTTCCGGCGGTTTCTTCACGGAGGAGCCGGTGGAAGAACCGAGCCTCCGCTGGAACCCAAACAAACTGGCTCGAGAGTTTGAGGAGTGCGAAGGCGAAACGAGCACGGTTCCCGATTACATCGTCGACGACTATCTCCCGATGGATATCCCCTTCTTGGACGATTTCTTCAACTTCCAACCGCAAGATGGGCCCGTGTTGTTCGATGATGGGCCGGGCTTTTCCACTTATCAAGACGAGTTCAAGATGTGTTTTGACGATTTCTCGGCCCTTGAAATCCAAGGCCCGAGCTTTGGGGATGTCGTTCACGACTCGTTTCAAGAACTCGGGTCGCTTGGGGTCGAGGATTACTTCCAAGACACGTGCGATTTTTCGAGTGTCGATGCACTATTAGCTATGTGATGATGCGATCGACCGATCGTCAATGTATACGAAAGTT